AAGTGCATATATCTTTTCTGATTGGTGTTTCTTATTTCTTGGGATATATTCCTAGAAGTGGGATTACTGGGTCAAATAGGAGTTCCATTTTTAATTTTTTGAGGAATGAGATGGTCAATGTATATAACTTAGAGACAAGCCCTTTTAGGAGCCACCATTTGTAGAACCATGTACTTTCAGTGAGCATTTCCTCCTGTGACTGGGCCGAATGCAAAGGTAGGCTAGTCACAGTGGGAAGTTAATCAGCATTTCCTTCTCCAGGTCCTAAAAATAATGACCATTGGAATGATAACAACTCTTCTGCCTATGTCACTATAGTTTCAAAGCCAACTTTTACTTACCTTATTACATTTAACGCTTTCAAAAGTCCTTTGAGATAGTTAGGTCAGCGATTACACACCTGAATTCGTAAATAAGGAAACTCTGGCTTAGAATAGAGAAATGACTTTCCCAAGATCAGGAGTCGAAGTGGTACTTGAATAGAGGTTTTTCTGGTAACTGGTCCAAGTCTCTTTCCATTACACTACACTGCTTCTGATTGTCAGTGATGTTTACCATCATTATTATTTGATTACCAGAGGATTTCATGGTAGGGGTGGAGGACGTTTTTCAAATGAAAAATATTGTGAAGGTAACGTGGCTTGAAATTGAACCTATGCTTCTTGTCCATCTTAGCTTTGATTTTATTTGTTCTGAAATGAAATAAATTGAGCTAATTATGACAATTATGTTGATGAATATGATTGAATAAAAATGACAAAATCAATGCATTTTTGCTTTAAAAAAAATCAATCAGCCTGGCCAGTGTGGCTCAGTGGTTGAGCATTGACCTATGAACCAGGAGGTCATGGTTTGGTTCCTGGTCAGGGCACATGCCCGGGTTGTGGGCTTCATCACCAGTAGGGGGCGTGTGGGAGACAGCTGATTGATGATTCTCACCATTGATATTTCTATCTCTCCCTCTCCCTTCCTCTCTGAAATCAATTTAAAAATATCGTTTTAAAAAATCAATCAGGTCTTCTAGAATTTTGAAAGTATAATTCCAAAACATCTAGATGCAAAAACAAACAAGACCTCTAACCAGATGAATTTATAGATATTTGGGTTTCCTCAGTTTAATCCACACCTCCTCAGAAGTTACTAATGGATGTTTTTAGTATGCTATTGGATATAATAATAATAAAAGAAACTTCACCTTATATAATTGCTACATTAAATACACATGTTTTTTTTCCATGAAAAACACCTCTGTTGGCTATTTAATATTGTTTTAATTCTTCTATGTAGACAACAGTAACATGCACTCATATTTCCTCATATTTGCCTAAATTTAATTTAAACTTCAAAATATTTAATATGTGACCCACTGTAAACTTTAATAGAAGTAAATATATATTGCTTTAGGCTAAACTAGGCAAATTCTCTGGGTAGTGTTTTAAATCACAATGGTAACAAGGACAGTAAACTGAACATGTGCTAGGTTCTTTACATACATTATAGATTCATAAGCTATAATAATGATCTGAAATTTTGGATTAATAATAATTAAAGCACAAACGAGATAGTTATGATGTGTGGAAGCCTTTTTTAAAAAATCCATCACTAACCTCCAAAAAAGATTTATAGAGTACCTCTCTCAAAATTAGGAAACTGAGGTATTATGCTGCTAATTAGAAAGGTAGCAGACATGTTAAGGGGGGGATATGTACATGATAGGTTTATTTTAGGCTTGTCACAGTTTCCAGGAGCCCAAGTCTATTGTCTAATGAATAATAAATAGCCTCAACTATTGTAACATTAGTATATGGAAAATTTTTCAAATTTTAAGAGACTTCCTGGTAATGTAATACCTGGGCTACTAGAGTGATCTTTCTAATGTAGCTTCCAAAATAATAAAAAATGTCCCAGAAGTAAAAACCTTTTGTAAAACATGGCCTCATTTTGTTTACAAATGATGCATTCTACTTTTTGCAGATGTGTCTTGCTGAATCAGGGCTCTCTTATCCATGCCATCGACTGACAGTGGGAAGGAGATCTTCACCTACACAGACCCGGGAGCAGTCTGAGGAGGTAAGCCTGTTAGCCAGCTTTTCAATGAACAGAAGGCCTATCCTCCACACACCTGCCCACTTCCTATTCTTTTTTATCTGCCACAGCAATGAATAGATAAAGTTAATGTAGCGTGAATAAAGTCTCAGTAAATTCTTTAAGGCAGAAACTTTCCATGCAAGGTTATGGCTAATGTGGTCTTTCTTGTTCTGTAAGTTTCATGTTTCAGCAGACAGAATTCAGGTGGATTGGTTAAAATGATTTTTACGTGGAACTGTCAGTTTAACAAAGGCATTTTCTTTGCTGCTGACTATTAATTAGGATTGAGTACATTTATCAGGATTGATTCTGAAGGTTCTTTAACTCAGTGAGTGAATGCACCTTCTGTGAGCCAGGCATTGTGCAAAGATGAATAGCAATGTACCTATACCAAGATGCTCAGAGTCAAAGGTAATAGATTAGTAAACTAATAATAATGACATATTGCAATAAATGCAGTGATAGCAATCAGTGTACATAGGGTGCTATGGAAACAAAGACTAGGGCCAGATCAGATTGAACATGTTTGTGTGTGTGATGTCTCTGTGTATGTGTCTTTGTGGGGCTGAGTGTATTATTATAGTTCACCTCTAGCCCTAACACCTAGTGTAGTGCCTGGTACATACCAGCCACAAAAGAGTATTTGTGAATGAATGCTTTTTTAAAAAAAGGAAGATTAGAGGATTTGACATCCAAATCTATATATATAAAAGCCTAAGAAACCATTATGACTGGTCGGCCAGTCGCTATGACACACACTGACCACCAGGGGGTAGACACTCAACGCAGGACCTGCTACCTGGTGGTCAGTGCACTCCCATAGCCAACCTCCCACAGCCGGCCAACCTCCCATGGTCCCTTCCCTTGGCCGGCCCCGATTGGCCCAATCAGGATTGGGCGAGACAGGCCTCAATTGGCCGCTATTGCCAGCTAGGCCAAGGGACCCCACTCATGCATGAATTTGTGCACCGGGCCTCTAGTAGAATTATAAAGAATGAGTCACAGTCAACCAAATGAAGAAACATGGAAAGAGTATTCCATTAAGAGGAAACAGCACAATCTGATTAGTAAATGGGAAGAAATGAGTACAGTTTGGTGTTTGTGCAAAATAAAATGGGACACAGAAAGATAAGAGATGAGACTAAGGTGAGTTGGGCTTGTATGTCTAGTGAGGGACTTGAACTCTGGGAAGCCATAGTAGGGTGTTAGGTGAGGAATGGTTTTTGTTTTGTTTTTCTGCTGTGCAGAGATTAGATGTAAAGGAAGCAAGACTACAGACAGAGAAATCAGATATGAACCTATTTTACTAGTACTGCAAAAGATAATAAGATCCTGAACTAGAACATACTTAGTAAAAAGAGAGAAGGATATGAATTCAGGAAATATTTGGAAGGGGAAATCAGTAGGACTGGTAACTGATAGGATGGATCTGTATGAGAAAAGAGAGAGGGAAGAAATAAGAATGATACATAGCTTTTGGCTTAAGTGACAAAAAATTCATTCAATAAATTCTGATTACCTACCTACTCCATGCCTGGTACTGGTCTAACTGCTGGGAATATGGCTGTGAACAGAGCAAAGTCTTCCATAAAGGAGTTAGTTTCTGCTAACCCCTTGCCGACAGAGAGAGAGAGAGAGAGAGAGAGAGAGAGAGAGTTGAGCCGACACTTTGTGTGTGTGTGTGTGTGTGTGTGTGTGTGTGTGTGTGTGTGTGTGTGTGT